TCTAGATTAGGTTAACTGTAGTGGGAAGGCCCAATGGAGAAGTGGGCAGTGCTATCCCATGAGCTGGGGTCCTGGGCTGAGTGTGAAGGAAAACACAGACTGAGTGTCAACATTCATGGCTCTCGGCTTTCTGACGACACAGTGCAAGCTGAAGCCTCAAGCTCCTGTGTCTTCCCTGCTCTGGGGGAGCAGGTGGTGCCCTCCAACTATGGGCCAAAGCAAGCCCTTCTCCCTAAGTTGCTTTCATCACATCAAGGCAAGCATTATCCTAACTACTTCAGCTCTGAGGCTTACTTGATAGCTGGTGCTAGTTCCATGGTTCACTCAGGGTGTCTGGGTATGACAGAATCTCGGGAGAGCCTCATGATTCTGCTGAATGGTTATCAGGAAGACAAGGATCAGGGGGTCCAGGGAAGTCAGATACCAACACTGGGTCTCTAGAGGAATACCAACCAGTGTAGAGTGGATTTTCCATGGTGGAAATACTGTTCTTGTTGTTTGGGATTGTAGAAGTCTGAAGAATGCATAGATGTATGGCTGGAAATGGAGATCACTAGATACCCCCTAAAATTTTAAGGCAGAGTATCCCCTTTTGGTACCAGAGTGAGGGAGAAGGGCTGCTTAGGAGGACTCCTCTCCACCCAACTTTACCCATGGTTTCAGAATAAAACAGGCCATTTTCGTGACATCACCTCTTTGCCTTGGGACTGTGGTATGGGGACAATGGCAGGATGTAGCCTTCCAATTTAGCTCTTGACATCAGCCTGGTTGGAAATGACTTGGCCCAGAGCCTCTATGTGCCCCTGGGGAGGAATCACTGGGCTTGGGCCCAGATCCTGTCTCTGGAGTGACTAATAATAAGCCTGTTGCCTGGACACTCCCTGCATATCAACTGTCACTCCTAGACTAGCTAACTCAGAGGCAGGCACACCCCAGCACAGGGACCACTGCATGTCCCACATTGAGTATCCCCCACAGGCCATATGTTGAAGGTGTGCTCCCCAGAGAGGTATTGCTGCAAGTTGTGAGACCTTTAAGAGGTAGAGTTTAGTGGGAGGTCTTCAGGTCGTTGCTGCATCCCCTGGAAGGGGTCAGTGGGACCTCAACCTTCCTTTTCTCTCTTTTTGAGTTCTGCCACCATGCCTTTGCTCTGCCACCATGGCAGAAACCGTAAGCCCAATTAAAGTGCTTCATGTTATAAACTGCCTTGGCCATGGTGTTTTGTCATAGCAGTATAAAAGTAACTAAGACACCTTGTGTACGGGAGGACTTGCACAGCCACCCTACCAGATGTACCAATTTTCAGTATATCATTCGAGCCTAACATAATTACAGTAAAGCTTGCAGGGCTGAGGGAAAACGGCTTGCATAGCCATTACAACCTGAGCCAGAAGCCAACACTTCTGTCCCCATAGAAGCCCCCCTTTCAGTCCCTACCTTCTCCAATTCCCGTGACTTTATATAAATAATAGGACTGCACAACCTGGGCTATAACAGATAAATGGTGTGTCTGTGATATATAGCAGTGCTGTCCCGTGACGATGTCTGGGGACCTTGAGGGTCATCTTCACCTGCAGAGGGAGGGAGATTCTATTGTCGTCTCTCAGGGGGATCCTGCTGTGTAGCAGTTTCCTCTGAAGTGAAGCATTCTATCCTGGCTCAGGACGTTCTAAAGGGAGGCTGGTTAAGATTGAGATAGCAAACAACACAAAAGGCTCAGGAAGTCCCTAAAACTTACCAAATCCACGAGGTCCTTCCATGCCTAAGCTGATATAAGCAGTAAGCACTGCTGGAGCGAGGAGACTCTCCAACCTGTGAGCTGCCTACAAGTTTTGCAGTGTGCTCCAGGTTTCTAGCTTTGTTGACTGTCACCTATGTGGGTGTGGGCTTTGGTGACGCAGTTGTCTTTGAGTCATTTCTGCTCTTGTAACTAGTTCCTCCGCATACTCTTCAAAGTAATTCCGATAACTCTTGGCTAACCAAGTTGGACTTTAGTAGTATTCTTACTCTGGTCTGTCGTCAGTTCATCTTTGGGTGAAGTATGTCCAAGTCTCCCCACCGGGTAGTGTCACACAATAAGTCCACGGATGTCGTTCAACATCCCACAGTACAGGGACTCCCCGAAGCAGAGAAAGGACTTTCTGTGTTAGCCATGCTCAAGAGCAAACCTCTGCTATGGACCAGACTAGGGAGCTCAGATTGTATTTGAAGAGCAGCAGAGATGCTGGGAATGTGGGCACATGCTCGTCAGGCCCACACTTAGGAGGGGAGGCAGAAGGATCATGAGCTTGAGATCAGCTTGGCCCGCAGGGAAAGACCCTATGTCAAGATAAAGCGAAATGAAGAAAATAAGAGTGATGGAGAAACAATGGCTTATGGGTGCTTCCAGCTCTCCCGGACACCGCCAAATGCTCTTCAGAGTGCCTATGTCTGTCCTCTTTGCTTTCAATTCTGTTCACCTTACCAGTTTCCCTCATCTTTGGGCCAGCAAATCAGTGCCTAATGAAAACCTGTGTAACAGTCTACCTAGTCAGAGTAGATCTGAGTCTATTCTCTCTCTCTCTCTCTCTCTCTCTCTCTCTCTCTCTCTCTCACACACACACACACACACACACACACACACACACACACACTCTGTTCCTCTGCAACAGAACCATGATAGAAGCTTCATTTAAATCATCTGTGCTCAACCTGTGGGTCACAACCCCTTTGGTGGCCATCAACCCTTTCACAGAAGTTGTCAAAGGCCATTAAAAAAATAAAACCACAGATATTTACATCATGATTCAAATCAGTAGCAAAATTACAGTTAAGAAATAGCAACGAAAGTAATTTCATGGCTGGGGGTTCCACAGCATGCGGGACTCTGTTAAGGGGTTGCGGCATTAGGAAGGTTGAGAACCACTGGTTTAAATGTAAATCTCCACCCTCTGCTTGCTTCGCACGGAATGGGCACCAGGAGAAAGCTCTGGTCATCTTGGCTTCTGCTCTGGTTTCACATCTTTTATACTGGAAAGATAAACAGGAAGTCCCTTCCTGGCTGGAAGGATGGGACAAGCCTCTGCTCCTCTCAGAGTTGGGACTCAGAAGAGCTAAGTGTCCCCTGGGTGGGGCCCCAAGGCCCTGGGATGAACTTCCTTCCTGCAGAATGCCTTTTTCCTCTCTCCTAAATGCCTCTTTTGCACTAACTTTACTTTGCAATTCACCTGGAACATCCAGGAGCCTTTTGTCTTTGTCTGAAATTCCAGTTTGGGTAGCTCTTTAACTCCTGAGCATATGGTGACGGCATGACTTGCCTTGGTCATTTTGGGGTCGCTAATAGTTTTCCTTTTAGTTTTTGTGTGTATGTTTGTGACCTGTGCACATGGGTGCAGAGGCCAGAGACTAGCATCAGGTTTCTTCCTTCATCACGACCCATTTTGTTTACTGAGGCAGTACCTTTCCCTGTACCAGGAGCTCTTCCGTTTGGTTACTCTAATTAGCCAGCTTGTCCAGGACCTCCTGTCTCCACAGCCCAAGTGCTGGGACGATAGATGGGCCACTGTGCCCACTCTACTGTTTAATGTGGCTCCTGGGGATCCAAACTGTAGGCCTCATGCCTGAATGGCAAGCACTCATCCACTGATCTATCTATCCCTAGGCCATGCCACTGATGCTTCAACATCAACAATCTCTTTCAAGTAAACTCCATGTTACTAGAACAACAGAATCAATAGAGCAGACATTTTAAATATTCTCTCTCTCCCTCTCCCCTTACCCCCTGTTTCCCTTTGTTTGGAGACAGGGATCTTGTCACATCTAGACCAGGCTGGCCACAAACTCACATTCCTTGTGCATCAGCTGCCGGAGTGTTGAGATTATAATATGATAGATGGAAAATGGTGGAAACACCTGAGGTTGACTTGTTGCCTCCACATATGTTATAATGTTATACCCAACACACTCATTCTCTCTCTCTCTCTCTCTCTCTCTCTCTCTCTCTTCCTCTCTTCCCACCTCTCTCTCTCTCTCTCTCTCTCTCTCTCTCTCTCTCTCTCTCACTCTCTCTCTCTCTCTCCAGGTTATGGCACTTCTCCAAGGTCATCCTGCAGAACACGAACAGCTCCAGGTTCAGGGTTTGTTCTACTGCAGCCTGCAGCAAGTTAGAGTTAATAAAACCATTTCCGGAAATAGTTAAGAGCCAGAGCTGGGGAAAAACATTTGGAATTGGCCAAGGGGGAATTGAGCAACAGTTCATGTCACATCCTTGCCTTTTCTCCTGGTGTGGCCATTTGCCTTCCCTGACTATATTTTCTTAACTGCTCTAATCTTAACAGAAGAAAAATAGCATAATCATTCATTCATTCATCCATCCATTCATTCATTCATTGATTCACTATTATAGATTAGAGTTTTGTGCACCCAAATTTTTATGTTGGACCCCCAGCCCCAGCATCTCAGGATGTGGCTATATTTTGAAACATGGCCTGTAAGAGACAACTAAGGTACCACCTATGTTATGTATGGTGGATACATACTGTAAAACCAGCACAGGAAGCTAAGCCAGGGGGGGTCACAAGTTCAAGTCCAGCCTGGATAACATAATAAGTTCCCGGCCAATCTGGGATACCCAGCAAGATCCTATCTCAAAAACAAAGCAAAGTGAAAACTCCAAAGCATAATTAAGATAAAATGAAGTCACATGGGCGGACTCTAGTGAGTGGTGCCCACATAAGAGGTCAGAAGGACACAGACCGCATAGAGGTGGGGGATGGCTGCATGAGGACGCAGGAGGAGGGCTGACACCTGCAGGACAAGACAAGTGGTCTCCTGAGGAAACCTCAACCCTGCTGACACCCTTCTTGGATGCCCAACTTCCAGAAGTTAGAGAAACGGATTTCTGTTGATTCCACAGACCAGGCTGTGCTGTTTAGTTACCGTTTCCAGAAGAACTGAGCACATTTTTCCTCTCTTCATTCCCCGCTCACGCCTGTCGCATAGCATGCAAGTCTGAGCTCAGCTGTCAGCTCCGGGGATTTCCTGGATTCCCCGTTTAACACTGCAGCGCCACTGTCTCTGGCTCACACTCCGGTCGAATTCCCTTCTCTGCTTCATCATTCTCTGCAGCGCTGGTCACTAGCTGGGACTTGGAGGGGCATGCCAGTCAACCTCTGTCCCGTGGAGGTAGGCTCTGGGACAGCCTGACTCCCTGCATATGGAGCTACAGGGTTTCTCTGGGGTCAGCATGGAGGCTAATTGTTACCTACTCATAAGAAGCAGGGAGGACAGAAGATGGGCGGAGACAGCTCTCAGTCTCATTCTGAGGATCCCTGGAGGCAGGATCATCATATTGGACTGAGGTAGAGGTAAGAGCCAGTGGCTGGCCGGTTTGCTTTTCTGACCGTCAGGTTAAAACCCACTCCCCCCCCCCAAAAAAAAAGAAAGCAGGGAGGAGAGAATTTGTCCCCTTCCCCTTTGCGGCAGTGACACATACAGATGGTGAGTATTGGCTAAGCACCATGTGGGCGACCAATGTAGGCATGATAAAGAGTTCCACAATAGCTGGGCATGGAGTATAGCAAAGGTTTATTAATTGGGGGATAAATTCACAGTAAGGATAGTGATCCATAGTCCTCTGCATGCACCGGAAGCGGGGAACCAAGCCCAGCAGAAAAGGGGCCATGCATGCTTTTCGTCTGCACTTTTAGTACCTCAGACCACGTCCAAAACGGGCTGTGTCTAAAAGGCTATTGACCGAAGGAGTTCCCATAGCACGTGATGCTCCAATACATGGACATAAGACACAGGGAATGCTGTAATAATGACATGGCTGTCAGGGAGCTCACACAGCAACGGACAAGTGACCTACAAAGTTCCAACTGCTTTCTGATTAGATTTAAAACCTGTTGCACGGGAAGGATCCAGGCCTGGTACCATCAACATGGTCAGAAGCCCATGGCTGAGGAAGTCGTAGCAGACATATTGTCAGAATACCTTCTGAATATTTCTGCTTACGTCCACAGATCAGTGCAACACTCAACCTTGATGAAAAGAACTTTTTACAGTGGATAGTGGTCAATACAGAGTCTCATAACTAACTCATCAAGGGCTGAGAACAAGTGACGGCTGAGGGCTCAGACCAAAGCAGAACATCGTACCAACTCCATCCAAGGCCCGGGGAACACAGAAGAAAGGGCAGAACACAAGAACTGGAGAATGGTGGAGGAGCTGTGAAATTCTGTCTTCTGGACATGATGAGGCTGTAGGACTCGTGGATTCATGGGAACTGTAGTCGTGCGCACAAGACCTGCATGAGGTCAAGCCAACCGGCATTCCAGTGTGGATCAGGGAAGGGCTCATGAGTCTCCCCGCCCCAGTAGGAGAGCTGTTAGCAATTGACAGCTGCTGGGGGAGAGAGAGCTTGTTTTCCTCGGGGGTGTTGCCTGTATGATTGTAGGCAGCACTAACTGAACTCCTTGGGTTATTAAAACAAAAAAACAAACAAGCAAACAAACAACAAAACAGAAGAGGACACCATTGGGAGGATCTAAGGGAGCAGGAGGGTGACTTAGGCTGGATATGATCAAGTATATATGATACATACATAGCAGAATTGTCAAAGGCTGAGTTAGAATTTTCTTTTAAAGTCAGGATAATCATGCAGATTCCTCAAGCGCTCGTCACACTTAGTTCTTCTCAGTGGTGAAGACTCAACATCTTTTCGTTTAGCATTTGAAGTGCACAGGACAGCACTGCCATGTGTAGTCCCCTGCTGGGCAGTCGCAGTTCAGAACTGCGCTCTGGTCTTGCTATAACTCTGTGCTCCACCCCAACTCCACCTGAATTTAGCAACCACTGTCCAGATCTCAGCGCCTTCAGCACTAACTTCTTCAGATTCCAGGGGCGAGGTGCCCATCTTTCTGGGCCTGGAGGGTTTCATGTACCTCGTTGCTGCCAGGTCCCTCCCAGTGGTAGAAGTGATGAGATTTCATCTCTACTTTGAGTTCATTCATTGTCCTCTTCTAGATGAGAGAAGATGACAACATGCCCCGTCTGAAGTAAAGAGCTACCCCAAAGCCCAGACTGCGGGATGCACAGTGGTCCACCCTGCCCCCTGCTGGCTCACCACCCTTGGCCGGGGGAACTTCCACTGCTCCTCTAGGGTCTTGCATATTTGCCTTGAATTTTGCTTATGAAGGTGGAAACCCCCGTGTGAGGCACTGTCTTGTCCTAGTGAGCTTCCTTTTCCTGTTACGGAACAAGTCTGGGCTACACAGCTGTGGGTGTCGTCAGACACAGGGATGGGGAACTTGAGATTTGTGCAGACCGCTGTCTGGAATACGTATTGAAGTCTCTAGGCTGGGGAGATGCTCAGTCAGAAGGCGCTGGCCATGCAAGCATCAGGTCTTAACTTCAAGTCCCAGAACACATGTAAAGGCTAGGTGTGGTGGGAAGTACCTATAGTCCCATAGTTGGAGAGGCGCAGACAGGCAGATGCCTGAGGCATAATGTTCAAATCAGGATAACTTGCTTGGCAGCCCATCTAAGCAAACTAATTAGCTCCAAGTCAGTGAGATATCCTGTCTCAAACAAAAAGGAGAGAGATTGGAGAAGACTCCTGACCTCTGCCTTTGGCCTGCACACTTATTTATACACATACAGGCATGCACATGCACATGCTCACGCACACACACACACACACACACACACACACACACACTCATGAACATGTACATGTATATATCAAAATGTCCAAGTCTTGGGAATGACAGTCTTGCTGAGGTCTTTAGGGGGAGTAGGGAAGCGTCTACAATATTTTTTGGTGGGGCATCAGAAGCCAAAATGGACGAAGGGGCAACACAGCTGGAGAGACTCACGATAAAGCATGCTGGATGAGGTGCTCATGATAGTCATCATATCCTTGCTGAATATCACAGAACGCTGTGGGAGAAGTGTGGGAAAGGGAAACCTCGCGCTTCTGGGAGGAGACTGGGGACCACACGCTCAGAGGGAGTGGTAGTGACTGTCTAAGGTGGTGATGCTGGAGCGATATGTTTAGATCAGTCGCTTCTGTTGTCTCCTCCTCTTCCTCCTTCTCCCCTTCTTCTAAAGCAAGTGCATTGATAATAAGCCACACCCACAGCTCCGCCTTCAGTTTTTAGTGCAGCGGTTCTTGACCTTCCTAATGCTGCGGCCCTTTAATGCAGTTCCTCATGCTGTAGTGACCCCAACCATAAACTTATTTTCATCACTACTCCATAAGGGCAATTTTGCTCCTGTTATGAATCATAATGTGAACATCTGTGCTTTTTGATGGTCTTAGGTGACTCCTGTATAAGGGTCATTTGTCCCCCTAGGATTGCCACCTGCAGGTTGAGAAGCACTGTTTCAAGACAGTACCTCACTTAGTCGCCCAGGATGGCTTCTCCCTGTGGCTGGGACTACAACCTGGCCTTTTGTCACCACTTGTGACGTGGGCGCTATGGTTGACAGAGCACAGTCTCCCAATTTTCGTACCTGTGTTGGGAATGGCAGGCGCTTTGAAAAGCCCTATTATATTTCTGATACTTACAGGTCTTTTTCTCTTAGAATTTGGGGCTGTGTATTACACATCCATTTAGTCACCCTTCTTTCCTTTCCTCCTGCCCTCTCCTTGTTTCCCTCCCTACCTCTGTTCTTCCTTTCATTTTCCCCAGTAACTCTGCTCAGCACACGTTATAATTAGTTAATAGAAGACTCAGGGTAAAGTAGGGGCCGGAGAGATGGTTCAGGGATTAAGAGCTCTCCCAGAGGATCTGGGTTCAAGTCCCAGCACCACGTAGCAGTTTCTAACTTTGCTGGCCTCTGTGAGTACTGCAGGCGTGTGGTGTGCAGACACACAAGCAGAAAACAACACTCAAACACATAAAAATGAAAAAAAATAAATCTCAAAGACAAGTAAAGTGTGTGTAGCCTTTTCCATGTTGATCATAACACATTAAAAAGCTATCATTTAAAATAATAAAATAAAGGTCACTGACTAAACCCCCATGCATCTAGGTGTAGTTGAAGGTCAACGATTCTTTTCAATGGAAGTTTATCCTGTGCAATATTAGGACTTACTCATATTAAAGTTTTGTTTTTCTGATATTCAGTTTTAAATAGGTTTTATTTATGTATTTTTCCCCCAGACCTCACAGTCTGGCTTGCCTGACTGTATTTTCCTATGGGATAGACACATGGACTACATTAACATTGCAGGGAGCAGGGAGAGCAATAATAGCACTTGAACTCAGAGCGTTGCACTACTAAGCATGCAGCAATCCTGAATATACCCCAACCCAAGCACAATTCCGAGCAGCTCTCTACTTAGGAATCTTTAGCTTCATAGAAAGTAACACAGTATGAATGAAGTTCTAGCCTACCCTAAGGTTAACACTTTACAGAACCAGGGAGAAGTCATCAAAACTATGAGACTCTCATCTGTGTGGTGCTATTTATGAGACTCTAGCCTGTGTGTGTGCATGTGTATGTGTGTGTGCATGCATGCGTGTGTGTGCTCCAGTGTACCTGCACATATGTATACGTGTGTGTTGATACCAGGGCTATCATTCTTCCCCATCTTGTCTCTCATTGGCCTTGAACTTTCCAAGTAGACTAGGCTGACTGGTCAGTGAGTCTGGCCATCAGCCTCTCTGCACCTCTCTGGTGATAGGATTCTGTGCATGCACCACCAATTCTTGCTTTTTACACTTTTATAGTGGGTTTGGGGGCTTGAACTTGGGTTCTCCTGCTTGCACGGCGAGCACTCTACCAACTGAACAATCTCCCCAGCCCCCCAGACTTAACATGGCGCTCACTTCATTTTCCCTCTGGCCCGCCTTTTCTGACCCAGAGAATCCAGGATCTCACATCAAATTTGGTGACTTTGATTTTCTTTTTAAAGTTCAATATTTTAGGGCATATGCCTGTTTACTTTCATTACAAAAAGGCAACTGACTGAGACTGTGAAAATGGGGGGTTGTTTGAAACTTTCAAAAGTTAGTCAAATTTCACAGAACCACAGCAGAAAGAAGGGTACAATGCCATGCTTGTGAGTGTCTGCCTGAGGGCTGGTGTGAGCTCGTGGCCACGTGCATGCCTTCTTTGTATCTGTGCCACACTTAGAAGCGTATTATTTATTGAGCAATCTTCAGCATTGAACTGCTGTTATCAGATCATTTGCCCCATGAGGGCAGGGACCAAACTCCCTTTTTGGCCCTAACACAATGCCTGGCATTCAGTCTGTGCTCTGCAAACATTTACCAAATAAACCAGGCATAGAATTGTTCTCCCTAAGTGTTCAACTATCTGTCTAACTAGTTTGAAGGTCAAAGTTCTATGAATGTGTCTGTGTCTGTGTGTGTGTGTGTAAGTCAGAGGAGTTGTTTCTGTGGAGTTTTTTTCTTGTTTGTTTGTTTGTTTAGACAGGGTTTTTCTGTGTATCTTTGGCTGTCCTAGAACTCACTCTGTAGACCAGGCTGGCCTCGAAGTCACAGAGATTCACCTGCCTCTGCATCTTGAGTGCTGGGACTAAAGGCGTGCACCACCACCATCGGCCTTCCTTTCCCTTTTATGTGGGTTCCAAGGAGCAAACTCGGGCCACAGGCTTGTGTGGACTCACCAGAGCTCCTTGCCAGTCCTGGGTTATTTAAGATAGGGTCTGGAATTCACGGTTCTCCTGCCTCCACTGAGTGCTGACACGCGTCATCATGCTTGAGGGTGATTGTGGACAGGGTGGAGGGGTTCTGCTTCACAGGCCTCTTGACGCTTAAAGAGCAGAGCGCCGACGAGATAGTTGCAAGTTGACTGTGTGCATGCCTGTAATTCCAGCGCTCAGGAAGCAGAGGCAGGAAATTGTAGTGTTTGAAACCAGTCTGGGCTACTTATTTTGGTTGCCTCTGCTATATCGTTTTGGTTAGAAGTGGCTACATGGTCTCCACTAGCTGAAGGGACCGACGAAATTCAGCCTCCCTTTGGCCCCAAAAAAAGAGGCCTGTAGAAGGGAACTCGGTGGGTGTGGCCTTGTGCCTCCCAAGTTTAATGGCTCTTCCTTTAGAGTAACCCTGCCTGTGAAACAGCCGGCTTCTGCCTCATCCCCTGGCTTGGCACAGAAAGGACAAGCTGCCGGGACTTGTAGATGGGATAAACGCATGCATCAATCAAGGGCCGTCATCTCGGTTTTTGCCTGGCTTTGGGCAGCGCACCCTCTGAGTCATATTTAATTCCCTCGCTTCCAGGCTGAACTCTTGAAAAGATCCTAATTAGATTCTTAGAAGAAATGATGCCCATCAGACAAACACATGACAGGCGGTTGCCCGCAGAGCTCAGCTCCAGGCTGGGAAAATGTAATAAGAGGGCCCGGCCCTCCAGGGACGAGACAGACATGCCAAAAAAGGTCGTGCCAGCTCCCAGCAAGCACGCTGTCCTTCAAGGGCCAGAGCCCTGCTTGCAGTTCCTCTGAGGAGGGAGAGCCCTTCTGCTGTACTGTAGAGACAGGCTTTGCTCCCAACGACAGCAAGCTCCTCAGTGTTCTCACTCAAGGACCATTTTACACTCCCCAAATCAGAGGGGTGTGCATTTTACAGCCATTTCTGCTCTGTAATAGAATTCTATTCCAAAAAAACAATGCACAGATTTCATGAGAAGATATGAGATGCCTTGGTGTTCTTTTAAAAATATGTGCGTGTGTGTGCATGTGTATGTGTGAGTGTGTGCGTGTGTGTGCATGTGTGAGTGTGTATGTGTGTGTGCATGAGTGTGCGTGTGTGTGTGTGTGTGTGTGTGCACGTTTGTGCATGTGTGTGCATTAGGGGTGGTGTGTGGGCATGGGAATGTAGGTCCTCTGCATGAGCAACAAGTGCTCTTGAGCTGAGTCATCTCTCCAGCCCCTGGTGGTCTTGTCACCTATCCTCCAGTGGAAATACACATGGCTTGTCACAGTGTTATTTATACAGCATCTTACAAGGGACTTCAGAATGACTCTAGGATAACCATCCATGTCAACCCATAAGGAAGTTGAGGATCAGTAAGGCTACCCTTATTGTGAGTTAGGATCTGTAGCTGAGCAGTCAGTGCACTGTATAGTTCTAGTGTGTGTGCCTTTGTGCGTGTGTGTCTGTCTGCGTGTGTGCATGTATGCGTATGCTTGCTTCATAAATATAAACACTGGGCCTAGTGAGATGGTTCAAGGGTCAGAGGTGCTTGCTGCCAAGGCCTACGACCTGAGTTCCACCCTCAGGACCCACACGGGGAAAGAGAATAGACCCCTACATGATGTCCCCTGATTCCACATGTGTGCCGGGCATCTTGCCAAAGAGACATAATAAAAAGAAAATTTTAAATTTATTTTTTTAAACAGGTGCAGGAGAGAGGGCTCAGCATCTAGGTTGTAGGTGCTGCCTTCTGGAATTGTTTAAGGTGTTGGTCTGTGCTTCTCAAAATTGTGACGGGAGACCAGACATAAACAACTTAAGAGGGGGAAAGATTTGTGTTGGCCCATGGTTTCAGAGACTTTAGTTCACAGCCCTTGGCTCTGTTGATGATGTTACCATGGTGAGGCAGAGCTTACGGCAGTGGAAGTGTGTGGGGGAGGAGGTTCTTCACTTCATGGTGGACAGGAAGGAGCCAGAGCAGGCTATGCCCTTCAAAGACATTCCCCAGTGGCTTACTGTCTCCCAACATGCCTCTCCTTCAGAGTTCTGCCACCGGCCAACAGTTTGTAGGCAGTTCGATCCATCAACAGATTAAACATGATTTCGGCCAGAGGCTACATGCTGGAACCTTCTCTGTAAACACCTAACCTCCGAGGTGGTCTCTTAGTTCCTTCGGCTGAGAGTGGAGACTGGCAGTTGCTGGCCTGTCTGTCTCTGTGGTGAGGGTAACACGGTTCCACGCGGTAAAAAGTGGCCCCTTGCTGCTTGGAGTGAAGTCAGTTCAGCAGACATGATTTAGAAAACAGAAACAAAGTTTCCAGAGTCATTCTCAATTCCCCTTTTTCTACTTTTGTGCTGCTAGAGACCAGACCCAGGGTAAGTGCTCACATCCCGCCCCTTGAATTCTGGAAGAGTTTCATGATTTCACTTTCTGTCTGATAGGCAGTACTCACTGAAAGCCCAGAGTCAGACACAAATGTGATTTGGCCGTCAATTAGACATGACTGTGTGCAGACCACAGCAGCGCTGTAACAGCGGCTGTGCACGGGTTGTATGCACTCAGTATGGCCACCAGGCTGAGCACATAACCTGCAAATTACCCATGCCCTGTTTACTCTTAACTTGCTCTCCGTAGGACTGGATTCTCCAAGCAGTAAGCATGTCCAGTCTGAGGCCCATGGGCTGTGGGCAGCCCAGTATACCCATGAGTGCAGTCTGCTTCAAAATCGTACGTGTTCCTAATTGTAGTTTTGTGGGTGGAGGGTGGGACTCAGTTGTGTGACTGTTGAGTTCCCAAAGGGCTAGGGACCGTCAGTGAAGCGTATACCTAGAAAAGTACAAAAATTCCAGGCTAGCCTCAGCTCGTACCCCTTGTACTTCAGTCTGCCCATGAATCATGAGAGATTTTGTTAAAATGTAGATTCTGACCCAATGAACTTGGGGTGGAACCAGAGGTTGGGCACCTTCCATGAACTGTAAGTGGTTGTTACTGCCACTGGCCCCACTTTGAGTAGCCCAGAGCCAGGCACGAAACACATGAGCCCTGAAACCTGACAGTCCCAGGTTCGAATCCCAGCTCCTCCACTTTCTGATTGAGCTTGGGGAAGCCCTTTGAGCTTGCTGAGCCTCAGGCTCCTCCTCGGCACAATGAGGCTAGCGATTCCTAGCTCGTGGTGTTGTAATAGGGCGTCACGTGGTATAATTCAGGCTGAGTTCTCAGCCCAGTGAGGGTTCCTAGTAAGTGCTCAAAAAATTCTGGTTGTTCTGGGCCTAGACTGCTCAGAACCACTCTGGAATTCTGAAGGCTTCACGGAGAAGGTGACGTATGACCCAAGTCTGGAAGAATAGGACAAGAGGACGTAGGGAGCAGAACTTTACACAGGTCACGCTCTTGCATCAGCACTCAGTATGATGTGGGCTTGGCAGAAAAGCCTCACCCTTCTCTCTCCTTGGCTT